ATCAAATGAGTGCATCTGATACTTCTCTGAGGAAAACTCTTCTCCCAAACTCCATTGTGATTCTGCCAAAACTCCCCCTACCAGAAAAAAAAAAAAAAAAAAAAGACAAACTTGGGCAGATGAAAAAATGCTGAGTAACACTACAGACAGGGCACGTTACTGACAGACCTGCTGTGAGTTTAGAACCAGCCTCCAGATTCAGTGGCAAATAACTTCGTAATGCTTCAAGATGAAAGAATCCAGCAGGGTGATGGTTAAGGGGGGAACAGAACTCTACTCCTCCTTACGTGTGTTTTTCAAGAAATACATACTGACTTTTGAAACTGGCACTGACAGTGCTGCTCTTGGAAAGGAAGTTATTTCTACCTGCACAGGTGTAACTGAAGACCTAATTTCAGGTAGTTTGTGAGCTGTTCTTATTGAAGATGAACCACAAAAATAAAAAAGAGCAAGACTGACGCTACAGTTGTAGGCCCCATAGAGAGACTTCGAGTATGGCCCACAAAAAGTTCCCAGTAAACTGAGAGATTTTCCAGCACTAGAAACATTTCTGGAACGGGATGGATTGTGGAGTAACAGAAATACATGGCTAATACTTTGGACCCTGGTATATTCCCTGTTGATATTGAGATGCCAAGTAGTGGTGAGGAAGGGCAGGGTTGTAGAGACAGCTCTTGCCTTTTATTTTAAATAAAACCAGCATGAGGCAACAACTGTTCTGCTGGGCCAGAATTATGGGATTATAAAGCACTATGCTTATAGAATATCCTGTCCACAAAGGTGGAGTCAGGTCTTCTACTGCACTTAACCATAAAGGGATTTCCCAGCAAAAGGGAATCTCCAGCTTCCATCTCAGGCACAAACAGCCAACAGAAACTCCCCTTGGCTTCATGGGTCCAGCTGATGCTGCAGAACTATCTGCAAAGCGCTGCAGCGAGGGAAGAGAGAAGTTTCCTTCACAGAGGGTGAAGTTTATTGGGATGACTTGCAGAAGGGAGCCAATGCAATTTAATAAAACTAATGCTGGATATACATGAACACAGAGGAGGGCTTGAACAACGAAATGGTGATGTTGCTTTTGATTAACAGGAGGGATTTTCTTTCTTTGAAAGAACAAGGTTAGAAATCTGAGAAAATCTGCCTTCCTTTCCTCAGACCACAAAAGAATGAAAAACTAAGGGGGATTTCTCCTATAAATTCTTAAGACTCGTATCATTAAGAGCTGGCACATCTTTTTGGAAAAGGAGAACACCCTTTGAAGGGGATTTTTTTTCTTCAACCTCCATTCCCCCCGCAATGCTGGTACAAGAAGGGCAGACGTAGGCACTCTGACATAAGGACCTTTATACCACAGTAAGTCACGTTGTCTAATGTTGGAAATGCCACGCTACTGCTAGCTCTGCACCTACGTGATATGGAAGCTGTACCCCTTTAGTATAGTGGCACAATTAAAATAGTACAACTTGGTGCGGCTTTTGCTAATAGCAATCCGCTTCATAAAGGCTAAATCTAGATAAACCAACCACTTCATCTCCATTACATTTTCTCCATTTCTAATGCATCTTGTATTAACAAACATTGTTGATGTGTGGGTGTTTCAAGATGCTCAAAGACTCTGTGTAACTTCAGGGAAAAGGATAAAGAGTTTGGTAATTCAAAACAACTCACTTAGGCAGCAAAGAGCATGGGAAGAC